CTGGAACACCCTCCCTAGAGAGAGGAGCTTCGTCAGGCGGTGTTGGACCTGAGTTGTTCGAGTCTCAAACACTCGTTTGCCGGGTGCACCAGAGCGCCAACTCCGAAGCTGCTGACTTCGCCTGCTCGAACGTGCCGTCGGGGTCGCCAAATGTCGCCGCTCATCCAAGAAATCCTGCAAAACCGTTTGAACTGGACTAGACCCCACCAGAGGCGAAGCCCGTGCTCTGTCAAGGCCGCAAGCCTGACTTTCAACATCAGGAATAGCTTCGGGCGTCGCAGCACAGCCAGTGAACATCTCTCAACCGATGTCAGGCGTCAGCTCCGAGCCAGGACACCGTGATTCGGGTGCCCAAAATACAAAAAACTACCTTGGCCACGCAAAGCGTTGCCCCTTTCAACTGTCGTCCATTTATCCCGGAGCGACGAAGCCGCGAGTCCCAGTATGCACAGTCTCTTCTCTTCTTGTCCTTCGCAGTGGTCAGTTCAATCCCGTAAACCCCGGGTGCGATGGGTGGATCGCGGAACCTGAGAAAAGAGTGCTTGGCGGTAGGGCTTTGGCAGGAAGCTTGAGGGATCCTCGCAGTCGTGAAGGAGGAAGCCTCGGGTCGCTTCCGACACCGTTCGAGTTGTGGGCGAGTGTATTCAGACATTTCTTCAAGCTCAATTTGAAATTATTGCTGCCATCTTGGCTCCCTCAGTGTTTTGTGGCTTGCCCCTCGTCGGATCCGCTGAAGCCCGGAACTCAGGACAGCTTGTTGCACAGACGACGCTGCTTTTTTTTCAAACTTGGTGGCTCCAGGCATATCAGCTTCGGATCCACGCTTCTGCGCATCGACTTGACATCCAAAGCAATGGGAGGTGGGCTTCTTCGGAAAATCCTATCGTCTGCACCCTTTCAGCCATTCCGGTGCTCCACTGTTGTGCCCTGGCCGCAGGCAGCAAGAAGACGACCGCTGCTGAACGTGCGGTTTCCAAGATTTCGCTCTGTCCAAGGATTCCGATCAGCCAGCTTTTGAGATCCATGCCTATGTTGGGAATCAGAGGGGCTAGTTTGAGGTCAGGCCAAGCTCCTGGAGGAGGCCAAAGGAGAGGTGAACCGCCGCGCCATGGCCCAAGAGCGGTTGTGAGCATCCGTGGTGTTTGTCGGCTGACGGATGCGAACCCTACCGAAACTTTCTCAGGTATGTGTTTATCACGGCATCTGCATTGGGGTTGCATGTCATGCATCTTTTAAGCTTCGTGTAGCGTAGATCCTCAGGTGCTTTGGGGGCCAACCCTCCGTCTCTTCTGCACATAGAGAAGTAAATACGGGGCACCGGTGCCCTCGGTGCAGTGCAGTCCGCCTTGCTCGAGGCTTGCCTCCATCGCCAGCTACACAAGACGAAATTCTGCACCTACTTCCTCAAGGCATGTAAGGGGCACAAGAGATAAGAGACGCAAAGAATGACACGACCTGAGTCGAGGGGGCCTGTCACTATGGCCCACAGTGTGCCTTCGCACACAGCTGCACCGAGCTCCAGGCCCGGGCGCAAGTCGACTTGGGGGTGGTCTCCGGTTTTGGGCTTTGTGCACTTTGTGCTTTTCGGGCTGCTTTAGGCGCTCTGTCGCTCTGTACTCTCGAATTGTATGGCATCGCTTTTCGATGCCACGAACTCACCTGGGCACAGGCCATGCCGGATCTTCGCAAGACCCGCATGTGCAAGGCTGCAGGGAGTTGGGGCTCACTAAGACAGTTGCATGCATAGTTGGCGAAGTCTCGCTCAGCTCATTCTCATTTCTGCTCATCTTCCTGCAGTTCAGCGGACTGGTCGTAGGCCCCTACATTCCACCCGCCATGCAGGTGCCTAGGGCAGAATCCCATGCATAACAAGCCTTGAGAAGCTCAGAAGAGTTCGTGAAGGCCTTCGCCGAGGGCAAGTGCACCGATCCGAACTGTGCCTTTGCGCATGGCGAGCAGGACAACGTCGGCCTCGAGCCCAAAACCGTCGAATGCCAGCCTTTCCTCTTGGCTGTTGATGCCATGTTGAAGTAGCGGAAGTACTGTAGAGACACGCCATGCCGATTCCTTTGCACGGGCACAATGGCAGGAGCTGGTCTCGACGGGTCTCTTCCATAAGATGTCGCTTTGCAAGTGGAATGAAAAGGGCACCTTCGTTGCACTTAGAGGCCCTGAAAGCTGAATCCCCTGTGCAAGAGGACCAGTCTCACCCACAGTCCCGGGCCCCTTGAACGTGAATCCCCTGTTCGGAGATCATGCTGAAGACTCTGAGTAGGTAAACCGGCAGGATAGATGGAAAACTGGCTGTGATGACGGAGGGGTATGTTGTTTGCAGGCAAATGCCGAAACGGCAGTCAGTGCCGCTTTGCTGCTTGGATGCACTTGGCTCCCACCCATGGTCCTTGGCAAGCTCAGAACCAAATACGCAGATGTCCTTGAAAATCGCAAGGCGCACGGACTCGAGGAGCTCCGTGACATGAAAAAGGCTGTGACGGCAGCAGCAGCCTTTGCTCCTCCGGACGTCAGCGCCTCAGGGGCCTTAGAGTACAGCGTCAGCATACAAGTCACAAGTCTGAAGGAGCTTGGTGAAGATATCCGGGATACAGGGTTCCCTCTTTCGCGTGACTTCGTTGGGCAAATCCCGAACCATTGGGACGGCAGAGATGGCCTGATCAAGCTCTCCCTGCTTGGGACTTTGGACAGGATCTTTCCCCTGCTTGGGACTTTGGACAGGATCTTTCCCCTCAAGTCGGAAAGATGCAAATTCTACCTACTTTGTGTGTGTGTGTGTGACAGGTGCCTGCAAAATCCAAGCCGATCGAGAAGGCGGAGCCGATGAAGGCCCCTCGAGTGCCGCTACCTTGAGTTCTCAACTTCAGACCGGAAGGCTTTCTTTCATCCCAGCTTCAGCTAGCTTCGCAGTGCCTGGTGGAATATGCGCTGGCTAAGCACCATGGTTGGCTAATGCCTTCTTGCTGAAGTATCCTGATCTTGTCATTCGGTTCTACATCGTTTAGACAGGACTAGCATGAAGGTTGCTGGATTCATTTGAGATGGTTGTCGCGGGATGGACCTGAACGACCGATGTGTATTGCTTTTCCTTGGTTCTCCGAGCAGGCCCAGTCAGACTGGGTTAGTTGTTACCGACGGCTGTTGTCTACAGGTGACCAGTGCGGGGGCCGGTTTGGAGTGGCGGCCTTAGCCGACATGCATCGGCTATGACCTTCGAGAGTTCAGATGCTGGGGTTCATACCAAGCTCACACTTGCATTGATGACTTGCATACTGATGACCCCACACCAACCTGCCTCCCAAGCTGGCCGACATGCTCTCCTCACCAACCCGAGTTTCAAGGAGACTACGTCCGTGGTGCATGTACTTCTACGTGACTCACACATGCATGCTCGCGGCATTTGCTGATCAAGATATGACAAGACCGCAGTTCTGAAGATGCGACAGCCCTTTGCGAAGTAAGCCCTTACTGGAAGCGATCATTGTCGTTCTTCAGACATCAAGGGTGCCAGAATCGCAAGGACGAGTCTCCTGGGATCAACTGTGGTCTATTCTCGCCCCGACGTCCGCTGTACCCCGGGGTCTCCTTCTACAAACTCTATTTATCTATCTAAGTATCTATCTAGCTATCTATCGATCTAGCTATCTAGCTATCTATCTATCTATCTAGCTATCTATCTATCTATCTATCTACCTACCTATTTTCCTATTTACCTATCTACTTGTCTACCTATCTACCTATCTACCTATCTACTTATCTACCTATCTACCTATCTACCTACCTACCTACCTACCTACCTACCTACCTATCTATCTATCTATCTATCTATTTATGTAGCTATGTATGTATGTATGTATGTATGTATGTATGTATGTATGTATGTATGTATGTACTTGTGTGTTTGTACATATGTATGTATGTACTGCTGTATTTATAGGTATGTATAGATTTGTGTATGTACGTATGTAGGTAGGTTAGGGTAGGTTAGGGTAGGTAGGTAGGTAGGTAGGTAGGTAGGTAGGTGCATACATGTCTGCATGCATGCATGCATGCATCCACACACATACACGCATACATACATATACATATATATATATATATGTATACATTCACATACTTACACATATATGTATGCTCACATGTGCATATATATATATATACATACACATACAGATATATGTACATGTATATGTATGTGTAGGTATATATATATATATATGTATATGCATATGTATATATGTATGTATATGTGTATGCGTGTGTATATGTATTTGATGCTTACACATACATACATATACATATTCTTATTCATATACATCTATATATATACACATACTGCATGCATTCTTTCAATACACGTTCATAAACTCATAAACCTGTGCATGTGCATGTACATGCAAACACACATACATACGCACGTACTCATAGCGTACACAAGACATACATGTGTGTATGTACATGTAAACATACACCTTTATATGCATATGTATATATAACTAAACGAGACTATACTATACGATACTATACTACACTATACCGTACTATGCTATGCTATACTATGCTATACTATGCTATACTATGCTATACGATGCTAGACTATGCCTTTCTATGCTGTACTTTGCTATATTATGCCATACTGTACTGTACTGTCCTTTGCCAAGCTATACTGTACTACCATTCCGTACCATGCTATGCTGCACTATGATATCCTACACTATAAAATACTATACTACACTGTACGAAACTGTACTGTATGACAACAACGTATAGTTATGATATATAGATCCATATGCGAGCCCCAAGCCTGACATCTGGAGATCCGAGGCCGATTGCCACCGTTGCCGCCTTGGCTGCGGCTGCCGCAGGCATCTTCGTCTCTTGTGACTTGCAGTCGACTGCAGGGTCCTGGAGGTTTGGCCTATGTCGACGAGTACTTGTTGTGCTCTGTCTTTGGGGTCCCTTGTGGTGGTTTTTGGGAGATCCACAGTGTCAGGAAAGAGCCAACCAAATGCCAGAAAGCAGTGTGCAGAAAGCTGGAAGTTCTGAATTTCTGCACTGTTAAGCTGCTAAGCCAACGTGGAACATTTCAATGAAGACCACGTCTTGTCAAACTCGGGCAGAACAAGCGCGTCAAGACCTATCGCCACTGCCATCTCGCATCTTTTTCCCAAGCGCTTTATCCGAGCAGCGGGCGGAACAAGTCAGTTTTTTCAATCAGTTTTCTTTCCCACTCCACAGTGTAAGAACTGAGGGTTCGAACGAGCATGATGTCCAGGCAGATGCTAACAGGAGTCCTTCCTATCTGTGTCTGAGAGAAGAAATTTCGTGTAAGGATTGTGGCTCAGTGCTCCAGTCTCGTCCTCCGAACCTTTTCTCCTCCACTCGTTCCCCGATACGGCGTGGGCACTTGGATTTCGCAGCAAGATTCGAGAGAAGTTTATTGATGGTTCGAGGTAGCCTAAGCCACCGAAGTCAATCGTCGTCCGAATGCCAAGATCAGCTGTGGCGCGGCAAAACTTAAGCCGAATCAAGATTTCAATAGTCGTTTTTTCAATTTTAAACCGTCTTGGCTTAACTACATCAGAGACACGAAAGCTGAACATCGACAAGTCTGTGACTGCTCCGGCGCAGATTCATTCCGCTGAAGGCTTCGGCCTCCATTAGGGAAGGATGTGTTGAGGGCACGAAATCAGGAGGATGCTCCAGTACGTAGCATGGGTTGCTGGTTTGGTATTCTGCTTTTCATGCGTAAGGCTTTGGGTTTGTAGTCCTCGCCATAAACCCTATCTTCATCGGAAACCAGTCCCTATCTGAACTGTGTTTTTGTCGTACCGCCACTGATGTTAAACGCTCCCTGGCAGGGATATGCCGGTTCGGGGCTGGAGGCTGAAGCTCGAGCACAAGCACCAGGGGTTGACTGCTGACAACACCAGTAGTTCGTCCAATCGTGAGTACTTCGTATAATTCGTACCTGCGGTAGTAGTAGTAGTAGTCGTCGTCGTCGTCGTCGTCGTCATCCACAACTTGTAGTGGCGCTATGGGCAGCTGCTATGTGGGCGCTTGGCTCCGGGAGCCGAAACGGCTAAGGGTAGTAGTATGAGGAGTAGGTAACATGTGCTATTATGGGGATGGTCATTGGCCGTGATCTTATACTAGCGGGCAGTGAACTATCTAATGGAGAAATCTGAGTTGTGCACAGTGTAGCCCTTTTTAGGGTTTCGGGTTCATGGGCGTTCCGCGGTGTTATCCAACGAAATCAGACCATAGGAAATTATGGGTTGCAAGTTCTAGAATGCTCAGATGTGCAGCTGTGTGAGATTCACGACATAGAACATGGACACACGGGCGGAGGAATGTTTTTTAAGAAGCTGAACCGAGGAGGGCCCATATTAAAATATGATAATATGTGCAGCTGTGTGAGACTTGCGACATGAGGGATGCTTTATACGAAGCTGAACCGAGGAGTATTTGTACCCCGCATATTTTGGAAGTGTAACTTATTACTTAGGCTTTCAAGATCTGACCACATGCATAAGAGGCCTTGGGGCAGGGGAGTACTTCATGTTTGAAAGTGTCGGCCGAGATTTGCAACTTTCTATTGCTAACTTCGCACATAAGAAGCCTGCGGCTGAGGACTCTTTCGCCTCAGATAGTTTGAGACTGTGTATCAGGTACCTAGAGGCGTGTTGCGCCGTTGCTCTGCAGAAAGTGTTGCGCTCCACATGTCAAAGCCAAAATTGAAATGTGTTACATACTTGCGTCGCTCCTGGAACCTGGCAGTTGTAGGGACCGGTTCGGGCCCGGATGCTTTGCAGGGTAACTTCGCAATGCTTGCATTCTGCCCGAAAGGGGGTGGCGCCCTCTGCTGCTTCACCTGGGCCAATCCCTTCTCACCACACTCCAAATCTGAAGCCTGGCCAGCTTTAGTGGGGGTCAGAGCTTCTTTTTTTCACGCTTGTCCTTCTTTGTAGACCTTGTTTGTCCGATGCTCGCAAATCTGAGCGAACTAAAATTTCCGGCAGCATGCTTGCCACAGAAATTTTCCAGTGACGTCATCGTGTGTGTCTTAGGAAGCAACGATATCTCAATAGACCATCGCGATAGAAACCCGAGAAACATTGTCGCATGATTGCATGGGCTAACGGGAATGGGTTCTTGGATGCAAAACCGTCCGCAGCACTGCAATAGGTAAGGTCTTGACCTCTCATATCCAGTACGTGTGAGCTGTGCGAATATAAACATGCCGTATTTCAATGGTAGCATATGCGACCACATGCAACGAAGAACAATTCTATCGTGCTACTATGTGTCTACGGGACTGCATACATTTCTCTCGGTCTTCATTCTTTGCTACCATTCCTTGCCGTGCATGTTCCGACAGGCTGTATGTAGAAAGTCATCCTGTTGCGCAAAAGATGTACGTTTTTCTTTCTGCAGGTGGAACCCCACTCTGATCCTCCCTCTGCCCGAGTGCGCAGCCCATATTGACGGGCACGGACTGCTCACAACGTAGTCTTATGCACACGCTGTCTCGCCCTCTCTCACTCCCACACTCTCCATCCGTGCACGCCTGTAGCTCTTCTATGGTCTGCGGCCCCTCAGTTTGCAGGCACAACCACAAAAAGGCGACACTGCATGACTGCTAACTCGGTTAAGACTCCCCTGCGGCACCACGAAGGAAACCAAAACACTTTGAGCAGTCTCGACCCTTTCTGAAACTACCACAGGTACCTCTTAGCACTGCGTGAAGCCCTTTTGTCGCTGTCTTTCGGTGGGGCATAAGGGTCACATGCGTGACCAGCAGGCCTCAAGGCTCACCCGCGTCTT